TCCGCACGGCCCCGGGCCCCGGCAGCCCCACGTGCCGGTGGGGGTCCGCCCCCCCAGCGCCGTTTATAGCAGACCCAGCAGGTGCTGCGGGCGGCTGAGCTCCCGCCGTGTGTCAGCCGGGGCCGGGGGGGGCGCCCGTGGGGGCACACGGCTGGGTGCTGTGACCCCAAGCCGCCCCGGCCTCAGCGCAGACAGCCGCTCGCTTCTTCCTCGACCCGTGCTGAACACAAAGCCGGTGGGTGGAGGGAGGGCTCCAGGTGGGTGCTCTGGGCTCCACTGTTTGCTTTCTGCTTGTTTGTCATTTTGTCAATCAGACCCTCCAATAAATAAATAAATAAATAAATAAAAAGGGAAAAGTGAAGTGTTCCGTGACAGCCACACAGCGGGGTGACCCACAGAAGCGCTCCATCGGGGCTGCACGCAGCCAGCCTCACCTCTGCTGCTGGGAAGTCCTTTCCCCACTTCCTCCACACAAAAAAAGCAGCACAAGCAGAATGCTGCCTGCCTCCTTCCCGGGGCCTGGCAGACAAACCGCAGGGGCTGCTGCATACTTGTGCAGCTCCTTTCGATCCAGTCATCCCCAAAACATGCAAGCAATGTTCAGTCTGGGTCCCTTCTGCATCGCAGCGAGGCGTCATCCTTGGTCAGCGTGGGCCGAAAGCACCAGATCCACTGCGCAGTGCCTGAGAGTGGCACCAATGATTTCCAAAGCAGAGCAGTGCTGGCACATGGGCTGCAGCAGCACTTCCACCTCTTCCCAACATTTCTCACGTGCCTGTTCCATAGGCAACCTCTTATATTGGGAAAAGCAAATGCAATTTCTATTATTACCCTACGGGCCTCTATCACTTTATGCCATACAGAAGCAGGCTTATGCCAGGGGCTGTTCACATCCCATCAGTGAGCAGTTATTGCCACTGCTTTGCTCGGGAGCCCTCTGGCAATGCTGTGGGCCGGCAGCTCCCAGCAGAGCTTAATGGCAGCAGGAGCTCCAGTTGCTGCTCATGGGGCATCAGGAGGTGGGAGTGGGACGCGAGCAGCTGGGAAGTCATTGCCACGCAGTGATTTTCCACTTTAAGCTACGTGCAGGCAGACTTCAGGAGGAGAGCAGCCGCTCACAGAGCAGGCATTTGCCCTGTTGGCATAGTGGGAAGAGTAGCTCTTTTATTTTAATGATGCTGAATTGATAGGCAAGTGCCAGAGGGCTGCAGAGGCCGTGCCAGAAGGGGACGTGGTGCTGCCCACAGCATCTCCTGCTGCACAGCAGTGCTTGCACCCTCTGGCAGCAGCTTCAGCCCCGTGCTGAGCCCTGCTGCTCCTGGGGCAAAGTGCTGGGGATGGGACGGCCCCGAACCAAGAGCTCAACTGTGCAATGATAAGCAATCCAGAACAGCATGGGAGCCATTATGTATGTGAGCACATCCAGCCCAGCTTATAAATGACATCCAACACAGCAGCCCTGCCACAGACACGCACAAATAAAAGCACCACTGGGTGACGGTGAGTGTGATGAAGGCGAGTTATTTTCAACAGGGCGGCTGCTGCTCCTGCTTTAAGGAACACTGGGCGAGTTATTAATACAGCACAGGGGCACGTGCTGTGACCAGAATGAAAGGGAATGCCCTTCCCTGCAGCTCAGGTTCCATAGCTGGCTGTCCCCAGCCTGCAGCACCGCCACAGCCAGCAGGGCAAAGCACCAGCCCTGCGCCAGGCTGAGCACAGAGCACCACCCTGCTGCTCTCAGGATCCCCAGAGCTGCGTGGGGTCTGTGCGTTTCCAGCAAAGGAGACACCTGTGAGTGCTGAACACCTTGGCTGATGCTTACAACACTCGGTTCAGTATATACACCACAGCCAAATAAACATTCAGAGGACCGATTGACACAGAGTTGCAAAGCTCCTACATCTGCTGAACTGGAGATGACACTGCTGGAAGACCCCCCAGTGGTGTTGGTGTGTCAGTGCGTAATCCGGCCCATTCTCCAGCCTCATTTCATCAGAAACAGAGCAGCAATTGGCCAGGAACCATCCAGACTGCAGCAGGTCCCGGCAGGAGAAGGGCCCACAATGCACACAGGCAGCATCTGTACGTGGAAAAAGCAGCATCAGCAGAACACTGACCAGCAGGTTCCACTTCCTCACAGGAATCACAGAATGGCTTCAGTTGGAAGGGACTTCAAGGATCACAAGCTCCAACCCCCCCGCTGCAGGCAGGAATGTCACTGTGCTGCTGTGACATTAACCTTCCTGAAGCAGAGCAGCGCCCACCCAGCCTGAGGTGCTGCTGGGGTGGTGATGAGCAGCAGCATGCTGAGAGCACGTACAGCAAACACACAGCAGCAGCCACAGCCCTCACTGCTCACAGCCAGGCTGCACCACCTGCGCTCTGTGCTCTGCCTACAGCCTCCAGCACCAAAAGCAACCCAGCAGCTAACTGGGAACGCAGCAGGAACAGGGACACGTTTGTCTTTGGGGCCCTCCTGGCTCCACGCCACACAGTAAGCGAGCTTTGCCTCACCCACGTGTAGCACATGGCCACGGTGGCAGCTGCTTGCTGAGTGGAGCCATGCTGTACTTCTGGCCCAGTTTGGGTTCATGCAGACAGCTGAGAAACGCCTGCCAGGTGCAGCATTCCTCCCAGCACTGCGAGATGGCCTTCCACATTCAGCCCTTCCACATTCAGCCCTTCCACATTCAGCCCTTCCACATTCAGCCCCATGCAATGGGTTCACAACACAGCGACTGTGGGCCCTGGAGGCTCCCACGACGTGAGGACCATGGTACCCATGGCTGTGCCCATGCACAGCACGGCTGTACCCCACAGCGTGCCAAGGGCTGGGTGCTGCGCTGGTGGAATGCTACTGTGCTCCTCCCCAGGCCCTTTTTGAGCCACTGATGGCACGGACAGGGCAGGCACTGATCACAATGGGGCAGCGAGCAGCCAGGTGTGCCCAGCAGCACAGAGGGGCGTTCGCAGGGCTGAGAGCAGCCAAGCACTGCCACAATTTTTGGGGACACCACAAAAACCCAATGGAAGCTTCAGACAAACACTCACGCACAAAACATCGTTATGAACAGCACATTCCTTCCCTCCCTCAGCCCGCATGGCTGCAGGAATGCGCTGCCCTCAGACCCACGCTGCCACCAAGCTGGGCTGGGGCACTGCCCTCTGCTGCAGCATGGAGGCCCGGGGGAGAATAGGGGAGGAAGAGAATGTGCAAAGAGCTGCACCTCTTTCCCACCCGATTGCAGCCTCAGAGCCCTGCCAAGGCAGGTGCCCCAACCCACAGGGCGCAGCACAGCCTTGTCCAGAGCAGCCGCTGCTACGGGGATGCTGGAGTGCTGATGAAGTGGCAGCAGCCACAGCCCGGCTGCATTCGTTTCCCTGAACGAGGGCTGTTACAAGGAGAGGGAGATTATAAATAAGTGCATGGCATAAATTCTGAGACAGCAATCCAACGTGCCAGAATAAGACGCAGAAAGAACCGAGAGCACCGCGCACGGGAAACCATCGGTTCCCTTCGAACTCCCTCTCCCGGCAGAGCCCACGCGCTCAGTGCGGACCCCTCCTGGCACAGCGCGACAGCAGCAGCAGCTCCGCTCCTCGTGCAGGGAGGGAAGGGCAGCACAGCAGCAGGGAAAGGACCCCGCACCTCCGGGCCGCAAAGGAAACGCGATGCGCTGCCACCAGCTGCGAGCGACTCTGCAGCCAAAACACCGGGAGCACGAGGAGCACAGCTCACACCGCCCCACGCGGACCATGGAGCCGCAGACACAGCCGTGCCCAAGCGCGGGGCTGCACCGAGGATGGCACAGAACCTCCCCCCTGCAGCCCAAGGACTGCCGCACCGGTCCCCATTTCGGGCTGCGGGGACATCACTTGTCTGTATCCGAAACGCTTCGCTTGAGCTGCGGCGGCTCTCCACGCTTTGCCCTGGGAACCACCTGCTGGCACGGGGCGAGCTGCTTCCACACAAGCACTGGCTGAAGAGCACAGAGAACAAAGAGTTTCGTGCAGTCACACAGGACAGGTACCCCCAGTCAGTTACCAGTCCTGCTCGCTGCACTGGAGCTCAGTGCTTGCTCTTTGCCCTCCCAAGCAGCTGTGCTCACAAGGGCCAAGGTCCTCAGAGGATTGTCTTCCTTAAGATGAAGGGCCAGCCCCCCTCAGCGGAGCTTCTCCAGAAGTGATTACAACATTGTAGCAGGCAAATTATTTATGAGCCCCTCGCTCGCAGAAAGCTGAGAAGCAAAGTCAGCTCAGTGTGACGGAGCTGCAGCAGCCAGGGCTCCTGGCTGAGAGCACCCCCCTTCTGCTGAAATAATGACTGAAAAACACCAAACTTGAGCTATCATTTATTCAGCTGAAGACACGAAGCTCAGGAAGATCTAGCTCCCTGCCCCCTGCCAGCTGCAGCTCTACAGCAACTCTTCAGCACTGCTCGCCCTGCTTTCACAGCCCCAGGTGATGGTTTCCACACTGAAGGACTACGAGTTAGAGAGCAAACCTCCACCCCATCACCAGACTCTCTGCTCGTTCTTTCAGGTTTACAACACTTCTGAAGTCTGCAGTGATCAGCTGAAAAGTAAATCTAGTTAATATGAAAATAACTCCCTTGGCTAAGCCAAGAGCCCCATGCTACAGAACAAGCCACCGCCAGACTTCTACCTAAGTCAAAAACAAATAAGGAAGAAGCTGGGATTTTGTTTAATTCCTCTCTAAATAATTTCCCTTCTTTTCAAAAAGAGCCCTGCTTTTCTTTCTGACATAACACCACATTAATTCACAAGGCTGGACACCAAATACCACAGAGACAGAATTCCAAGGATTTCTCAAAAGCACAGGTAAATTCCTGTGCTGAAATGGGAGTCTTTCCTCAAAGAATCCAACTTGAGCAGCTTCAGTGCCTTTCTCCTTCCTTGAATACTCCTTTTCAAATTTGGAAAGCTCAATCATTTCAGTGAAAGGAAAGCAGCACCCTTTAAAGAAAAAAAATCACATCCCTTAACAGCAATAATTTAATGGCTGTTTAAAAGAATGCCCATCCTCATTTGACACCCAAGCATACGAAACATCACAGCTCCTCCTGCAGCACAGCTGCTCTCAGCCCCAGGCGCCCGCTGCCGCCTGCTCTGCAACAGCCCAGAGCTCCCACAGGCACCTGATTTCTTCCTTTCCTCTTCTCCACCCTCTCAAAGTGCAACATCACGCTGCTCAGCACGTTCAGCAATCCCACCCCAATTACCAAGTATTTGCAGTGTTTGTAGCAGAAAAGGGCAGTCTTCTCCATAAATACAAATTAGGTGTATTTACACTTTAACAGGACCCGCTTACATCAGCTTTGGGTCCACCTGCATTGGTACAGAAGAAAATCCAAAGCCCATTTTCAGACAAAGAAAAAAAAGACATTTTCACAGCAGCTCTTCCACCCCCAGAGCTGCCCCTCGGCCTGCTTACTGAGAACAGCAGGCAACACCAAGAACTTCTGTACAATCTTCAGCAACAAAGTGCCAGCCCTCAGCCAAGCCCTAAGCTGAACTGTAAATGACAGGCATTTGCACAGGGCTCTCCAGGCAGGAGACGTCCTACTGGAGAAGAAAACTCCCCCCCTCCTTTTATAAAAAGTGTTGAGAAAGAAAATATAGAAAAGTTTCTCACATTTCATTCTAGGTACAAAGGAACAATACGCAGATCTGCTTGCATTTATGTGGAAACACCAACCATGTAAACAAATGAATGTCACATACAAGCAACCTGGATCAGAATTTGTGTCCTGCTTCATAACAGCCACCACCTTCTCTGGATTTATTTTCCTTCCTCCAGCCAACCCACTCTAAAACTTTCAGACCCACACCTGGTTTGCTGTCTTACCATCAAAACACTTCAACTCTCAACGTCTCAATCATCTTTCAGAGATACATTCTGTACTCCCAGACGCTTCTACTTCCACCTCTAATGGATACAGAGTATCAGGCAGGGCCCTGCTGCAAAGCAGCCTTCACTGTTTTCCCGGGACTTCTTAATCTCGAGGAACACAATAAGATTGGTAATTATCTACTTAAGCCCCCCCTCACTGGATGTGTGGATTAGTCAGCATTGCCACAGAGTTGGAAACATTTGGCTAAAACACACTTCTTGGTGCTGAAGAGGGCAGATAATAAATACAGAGAACGTTAACAGGAGCAAAGGCAGTCAGTCCCCTTCTGCCCAGCTCCAGCTAACAGCAAACTGGACCCGACTTCTTTTTTGCTGAGATCTGATTTCAAAGTGAAAGCTTGCAGTCTTGTGATGCATTTTATATACATTTCACCACTCTGTAAGTGAACAAAAAAGGACAGTAGTCAAACAAATTCCTCCTTACCCACCCAACACATAACAGTAATGTAAGGCATGTTGCCCTGAGCAAGAATCCAAGCGTGAGCAAGAACCCTGCCAGGCAGTGCGATCCTGTAACTTCACCATCAGGCTCCTGAAGTCCCAAGACCTCTCCCTCCGTTCCTCAGGCAGAATATTCCCTGTCACAGTGTGCATTTCTTATTCAACACAACTAAAGAGCAGGGCTAATTAAACAAAAAAAACTCAGTAGCCGGACTTCCATCTCTCTCAAGGACACGCGACCAGTCTTGCAGTTCTTGGCTTTATCCCACAAGCAGCCTCGTTAGACCACCTCCATAGACAAATTAACAAGAGACAAAGCCGACATCAACTGCAGCGTCCGTGCAAGACTTCAGGCTGTGTCACACAGTCTCCTCTGACCGGACGTCACTGGGGTGTGAAGGTGAGAATCATCCAGCTGATGACGAAGTAGAAGAGGAAGATGGGGTACACGGCCAGCGCCTTGCGGTGCGGAGGCTGGCTGTCAGCCAGGAAGGCTGTGGATGCTGGGGCAGAGGGAAAGAAAAGCACCTGAAACAGCACAGAACTGAAACATCAACACTGCAGCTGTTAAGCTTGGAGAGCTTGATGAGGATGAAGTGGAAGGACAGAAAACAAAGCAAAGCGTAGCTCAGTAACAATGGCCTCCGACTGCAAATCAAAGCTCTACCACGTAGAAGAACAGGTGCTGATTAGCATTCTGCATGAGATTCAGCCTAACAGATTAACAACAAGGGAAATAATTCAAGCACCTGTATGAGATGAATGTTCTTTAACAGCTCTTTATAACAGAACTGATGGAATGAAACACGCAGCACTTCACACAAAGTTCAGTATTAGTTACTGTCCTCCCTCCAATGGCAGTTCGTATACGACCATGAAAATCAACAGGAGTGCAGTCAAAGGCTGAATCTCTGCCAACAGAAGGACTGGAAGAACTATTTCTGCAGTACTGCAGCAGCCTAGCAAACACCTGAAACTACAGAAAACCTTTGGCTTCATTCAGCAGAACGCAAACAGAGCCACTCCTTTAAGATCACACCACTCAGCACACAGCAGTGCTGGCACTCACAGGAACTTACCTAACGTGGACCAGGCAAACATAGCAATCACTACAATCAGGCGTACGATGAAGCTGACAGTGCCAGAGCCTGCCAGCAGCACCAGCCTGCACACCAGCATCGCCACCGTCAGGGGCAGGACGCAGTAACCCAGAACACACAGGCTCTGAAAAAAAGATCTACAAAGGAGGGAGGGAAACAGTTAGACCACAGCACCCCTTCAGACTTCATACCTGAAGCACTGCAACTGTTGCTACAAGACAGCACTCACATAGTTCCTCCCAGGAGCTTTGAGTTTAGTGTGATGACAACGGCACCAAACCAGATGATGACGAAGACCTCAGCAAACTGGGGCCCTCCGTCCTCCTTGCTGTCTGCTGATCCCCCCTGCAGCATCCTGTTGTAGACAACAGATACAAGGAGTCAACTGCAATTGATGACTGAGCTTTTGCAAACCTAGAACAGATGACAACAGGAAACTGGAGATGCTGATTCCTAGTAAGACTGTAGACTGTAATTATTTTTATTTTTGATATCCTCAATTTTGCACAGGAAAATAAAATGATTGCTGCCCAATTGAAGGCACTTCAGCCATTCATGTACTTGTTTTCAGGACCGTGTAAGCACACCAGAGAAAATCACAGATAAAAGCCAAGAAAACGAACATGAGAAGTTTGGCAGCCTCTCAAAACAGGCAGAGCACTGCTTGAGAAAAGAGTTATGCCTTAAGGAAAGCTCTCAGCAAGAACAGGATGCAAGCAATGCAACACAGCACCTGGAAAAGTCAGCACGTACAGACCTGAAGGTTCAATTCACATGGTACATTTCTGATAAAGGGTTTTACTAAATGCCCTCTGGATGCTGAGCTCTGCGGGTCTTTACCCAGGTGGCAGATGTCAAAGGATCTACCTTACCCCAGACACGTGCAATTTAATGGAGCACCAAAACACTCCTGAGAGCCACAGTCACCTCCCAGTGACAAGTTATTACAACAGCCCTCATTTCCATCAGTTCTCTCCACAGGACACACAGTACACACACAACTGCTCTTAAACACAAGCTGTGACCTGCAGATTAGGGTCAAAGCAGTCAGCCAGATGCATTAAAATCAAGAACAATGCGAATCAGCATCTTCTCAGCAAGATCCTTCCATGACAGGGAGCTCCTAAGGGGCTACAAATGTCAAAAAGGTGCAAGTCTAAATCGGTGGCGTTTGTAGAAGACTGGAGGAGCAAAGAGCATGATCTGACACATGGAAAAAGAAATCCCAAAGTTCTCACACTCCCAACACTCATACTGAAACATACTAAACAATCTTCATACTAGAACAAATACAAGTAAATCCACACACAGTAAGTACTTACAGAGCAAGTGAGACACAAAGCACCAAAGGCCCCCAAAGATCCCCTGGAGGTAAGGAAAAAAAAATAAATCACAAATACGATACAATGATATTTTTACGTGAGTAATTAAGCACCCTTTTCCAATTGCTATGGCATCATTTCCATTATACCTCCTCACAATTTCACTATTTACCATCTTCAGCCATATTCCATATGTCACTTCTGGAAAGCCTGCTTTCCACAAAAGCCAATTGTTCTACACTTCTCCCACATGTGCTACTTTACAACAGCATTGCTGACCCTCAGGTTTTTCACCTCTGCTATTCTGCACTCTATGAGAACAGAGAGAACACAGAGCACACACTTCTGAGTCCCCGTCCCACAGAACCCCCCTTCCCACACACACACAAAGCACACGTCTGACATCTCACACTTACAGTCCCTGAGGAGCGCGCTGCTCTTCCTTGGATACATGACATGGACAAATTTCTTCCCAACAGCCTTCAGATCTCTCAGCTGAAACAAAGAAGTAATTTTTATATGAAAGTTACAGACCTCAGCAGAAAGCAGAAAGACAAGACAAGAAGTAAGGCAGTATTCACAGTAACTCAGAACAGCACCCAACCAAAATATTCTGGCAGCAGACTTTGCACAAACAATGCTATGCTTTGTACGCTGCTTAAGAACACAACAGTCCTGCACACCTAGGAATACCCAATAAAGAAAAATAATTTGTTTGCTCCTTGTAACACTATAATGGGATGATAATAGCAGGGTGGCAAAGTCTTTGGCAACAGTAAGTGAGAATGAGCCCAAACGCAGCTGCAATGGATACAGAAGTGAAGGAAAAGAGCTGCTTACCTTTGGCAGGGCTCGGGTAGGCAGGAATCCCCAGTGAGACGCCCTCACCTCCACTGCCAACCCTTAAATGAGGGCTGGGAAGGGGTGGATCCTGGCTCCATCCCTTCTATCCCTCAGCTGTGCTGCATGCACCTGAGCTCCCCTGGGCTGGCCCTGCCTTCCTGCCAGGTGCTCCATCACGGCTTCAGGCTGTGACTGAGCATTTCTGCTACACTCCTCTAAGAGAAGAAAATTAACTAAAAGTCCTATTAATTGGGATAGTCTTCTCCCAAGTTCCATATGCTTTCACGTATACAGATTTTCAGATGGGAGAAACTTTGAGGCCATAATTCAACTATTTGTGACTCATACATATTTGCACACATTTTACATAAACAATTATATGGGAAAAACAACAACAACAACAACTATCCACAACCCCCCGGAACGCTTATTTATATGTACAAGCTGAGTAAAAGCATGCAAAGAAGGCAGGTTTTGCGTAGCAGTTGGCCAGAGAGCTCAGCAAAACCCATTTTATCACAGACAGGAGCAGGGAACACAAACTCACAATGGTGTCCCTGACGGGTTCATCCAGCGTGGAGAAATCTTCCTCTGGGGAATGGGACCCCACGGGAACCGTGATCTCCCCTTCCACCGGGATGTCCTCAGCTATGGACACGTCTGCCAGGCCTGCAAACTGAACGGATGGGGAAACCCTCAGAGTGAAGGAAACGCGGAGCAGCTCACAGCTGGTGCTTTATCAACGGCAGCGGGTGGGAGCCGCCGCTCGGAGCTGAGGGCAGCATCACAGCAACCCGAGGGCAGCACCCAGCGCCGCCTGAGCGAGCAGCTCACGGCCTGCCACGACGCTCCGGGGGAGCAGCTGCACGCAAACAAAGCATTTCTGTTCTCCTCAGCATCTCCATTCCCCGCCTTTTCTTCCCCGCGCAGCCGGCGGTGACTGACGGACGCCGATCCCCGTTCAGCCGCACAGCGCGGCTCCGAGCACAGCGCACAGGGCCGCGCTCCGGCCCGGCAAAGCCCACGGCGGCCAGCACCGCACGCAGCCCGGCCCGCAGCCGCTTCAGAGCGGGACAGAAGAAGCCCCGCCGTCCGTCCGCCGACCCGCCCGCTGTCAGCACAGCCCGCAGCTCCGCGCCGCGCTCACCAGAGGCTCAGCTGCCGCCGCCGCCCCGCCGCCTTCTGCCGTCGCCATCTTGGCCGCAGAGCCGACGTGGCGCCGCGATTACGTCATCACCGCGCGCGGCGCCTTAGCGTCGCGCGCCTCCGGAGCGTCCGTGGTAACGAGGCTGTGCGCGTCGCGCCTCCCGGCCGGCAGGGGGCGCCGGTGCCACGCGCGGAGGGTCGGGGCCGGG